ATTCTCGGCGCTGAAATCTGTTCTTTTCGTTTTGTATTCTCTGTATTTCTCTTCCTTCAGCATTCCTCGTTTTTCTTTTTTTTTTTTTTTAAATCCTATGGGTTTCATGAGGTTTTGTCCAAATTAAGTGCCAGGCAAATGTTGTTTTACGACATCCAAAACAGGCCAAGATTACAAGCATTTTTTCACTGTTTCAGAATCGGGATCGCAAGATTTGTCCGGGTCAATTTGTGCGGAAGGAGCAGACATGCCGCATAAGTCGACAAAAAGTAAAATTCGGCTAAGGATTTTCAGAAGGTCTGTTGAAATTTCTATCACTACGAGAATCGCAGATTTATTATTTAATGCTTAACTCTTTAAATATTGTAAAATTTGTGTGGATAGCAAGGGTAAAAGAAAAGCTATATGGCCTATTAGTGTTATAATATTTGCTATGTTACTGAGTAAAAAAGATGTATTATTGGGAAATGTGCTGTTGAAAACGTGGAGCAACTCTCTCCGCGGGACAGCTGTGCAATTCTACAAAATGCTCTAGCTAAATCGGTCGATTTTCTGTTGCACTTCTCTGCAATAAAATGCTTATTTGCTCAAATATCAGTATTTTTAAGACATATTTTAATTTCGCTGGAAAAATAATTTAGTTTTTTTTTGTCTTCTAATTTCCACAGAGAAAGTTGATTTTTTCCAGGAGGAGTGCAAGTTTCACGAAGATTGACGAGCTCAGTAAGGAGGAGGATGAGGCTGAAGCCGAAGCAAAGACTGTCGCATCAAGTTCGAAAACATGGACAACCACAATGGGCAGATCACTGAGAAAAAAACTCAGCGCTTTTCGCAAGGATATCGATGAAAGTGACAGGTGCTTTCTTCGTTTTCAAAATCTTTCTGTCTTTGATATTGTGTTAAAGAAAGTTCGATATTTGCCGCTTGTTCACTGGGCATCATTATATAGCGTGTTGGCACATTTTGCATATGTTGTCGGCCCTTTAAAATCCTTCTTTAGAGAGCACTCTGCACTTTTTTAATTCATAAAATTTATGATGCAGCATGTTTGCAACGTATTCCTTGCATTTCTTGTGTGGTGTTACGTCATAGAGAATTTCAGGCCCTCGTTCTGTTCCACTCTCCTCCTCCAAAACAATCTCCTTGCCAAAAATATTCACTATTTGTGTCTTTAAAATTTCTACAACACTTATATCAAAGTAAAATGTTTCCTTTAGTTTCTTCTGAAGGCTGTTTTCTGCACTGGCATCAATCGGGCCTAATTAAAATCGAACCGAGAATGAGCTTATAATTGAATGGGAAAGAGATATGTGAGATCTTCCCTGAAAACGCTTTGTGAGTGCAAAAATTCGCCCGCAGGTAGCGGATTTCGATCTAGAGGTGTCAAAAATTGGGGATTCGTAGCTGTCAAAAATTGGGGCTTCGGTTTTTTTTTTTTTGAATATTCGGGAATGTGCACCATTATCTTTGTCCATTTTTGATAGTCAGCTGAGCCTAATCAAAGATAATACGGATTAAAAAGAACTGGTGCAAGTAGAAGTTGGTGGTGGCGGAATTCGCAAGGCGTGGGAAAAGATAAGTGAAGCAAAATACTACATGTTCGGTGCACTTAGCTGTTTTTTAATGAACAATTAGAGCAAGGAAAGCGAAAAGTACGCCGTTTCCTCAATATCTTAGTTTCATTTAAAATTTGAATATTTTATGAAGTTATGAAAAAAGTTGTGAAAAAGGAAAATAATAATTAAAAGGAAGTAAAAACTGAACTGGAATGTTTGAAGTGAATTTCATTTTGTATCTCTGACAAGCGCTTTTCGCCGATACTTTAGGGTTGTTAACGATAATGACTTTTAGATTTTTTTAATTTCGAGAAGATTTATTAGCCTTTTTCCAGCTTTGTTTTGTCGGTAAGTGTTTATCAGTGCTGTCCTCATCAATCAGTGGTTTATGGCGCTGCGCTTTTTAACAGTCTTCTTGAGGATCTTTGTTTTTCAGCCCAGCTGCATCGAAGTCCGCGTCAGAGGGAGTTAATGTTATTTATCTTCGGAAGCCGTCATCAAACAGAAATGGCACTGGTGGTGTTCTCGGTGGTGTAAGGTAATAATTTTCCGGTTTTTTCTTCCTTTTTTGAGCGGTTTATTTACCTAACTTTTGACAGCGGTAAGAAGTGGCCCTGTGAAAGTGGTAGCGGCTTTTTTTGCAGTTGAGACTTTCTCACATTTTTGCTCCCAGTTTTGCGTGAAATGTGTCATGTCGAACGTGTTTGCCCCGAATTTACTTTTTCCTCAAATTGGTTGATCGTCCAACAAAGTTTTCCTTACCGTCCATCTCTTTCTACTAAGTTTTCACTAGCGTATAGACAAATTACCGGCCCATCAATGAAATTTCCTCATGGTGGCTCAGTTCTCACATTCTTCCTTACCACATGGACAAGTTTAATAGAACTGACCACTTCTCAGGATCACACTGAATTCTGCAAGTCTTTTTATAAATACATAATACTTTTTGTTTTATTTCCTGTTGTTCGATTTTCCGTGAGAAAAAAAGAGACGAGGTAATTCTAGAAGTTGGTTTATAATAGAGAGGAATTCAAAGCATTGTTGTGAGAGGAGTTTCCAGTTGTTTGTGAAAGCATGCTTAGACGTACAATAAATTATTCGGGCAAATCGCAATGATAAATAGCTCTGCTTTCACCCTTATGAGTTCGGCTCTGCCAATAAGTGGGGCAACCGATTTCTCTACGGCTCATTCATTCGTTTTGATGGTAAATTGGTACTGGCA